TCTCCAGTGGTAGAGGGTGCTGCTTTGAGGCCATCTGGTGTTGTTTGGATGAGAACTTCCCTTCAGAAGTTCACATGTTGAAGGTTTGGTTCCCCAATGCAATACTCAGAAGTGGGGCTTTGGGAAGTTATTGGATCATGAGGGCTCAGATCTAGTCAATGGATTCATCCATTGATAGATTTATAATTTGAAGGCACTTTTATAGGTGGTAGAAAGTTGGAGTTAAGGTCTTATTCGGAAGAAGTAAGTCCCTAGGAGTATGCTGTTAGACCTCCCCCCACATCCCTGTTCTCTTGTCGCTCTCTGCTACCATCTTTCCTCCCCCTATGATGTTTTGCCTAGCTGCCAGGCCCAAAGCTCTGGCTCCAGATAACCATCAACTGAAGCCTCTGTGACTGCCATCCAAAATAAGCCTTTTCTTAGGTGTTTTGTCATAGTGATGAAAGGCTGATGAACACAGTATTTCAAGAGTCTTAACAGTGTTGTGTCAGTGATATTAAGATGGCATCTCATTACATCAGTCAGTCATAGACTCTAGAACTAGGTTTACTCCTGGCTTAAATGAGAGAGCGTTGTGGTTTATCTACAAGATCAGCTGTAGTCCCCACAGGCTTCCATCACAAAATACTGCAAGTAGACGGCTTAAGCAATATTTCTAATGGTTCCAAGAGCTCAGAAATCTAGGGTGTTCACACATGTGATGTCTGATGGCACCTTTTCCCCTGGTTTGAAGACAGTTGTCTTCTCATTATGCCCTCACATCACCCTACGTGGGTGTGTATGGGGGAAAGGAAGGCTAGCGTGTCTTCTTTTTGTAAGGCAGTTTATGGCACCATAATAGTCTAACCCTCAAGATCTTATTTATCTCTTCTCTCTCAATTCTCTCTACTGAGAATTGATCGTTCTGCATGAATTTAATGGGGTCACCAATAGTTCATCCACAATAATGTCTTTTTAACAGGGCATTTTACAGCTAGAACAGACTGACATACACTGGAAACATAGTAAGACCAGGACTGCATATTCAAAATTTATAACTTTGAGTCCTAGTCTCCTCTGTGATGTAAATGGTTAAACCTCTCTGTCTTGATCTTAATTTCCTCACTTGTTCTATAGTAGCACCTATTTGTAGTGTTTCCACCATGCGTGCAAATAAGTGAAAATAGAACACGCAATCTCTTAGGATCTTTGATGGTTTAGCTTAATTTATGTTGTTTTCATAATCTTTTTTGTTGAATTTTTCTTTCTTTTTTTATTGTGAAAATACTGTACAGAGGGGTTACAATTACATGGACAAGGTAATGAGTACATATCTTATCAAGCATTGTTGCCTCCTCCTTTGTTTCTCCTTCCCATCCCTTCCCTTCTCCCACCCCCACACCAACCCCCCACCCCCACCAAAGTTGTAAAGTTCATTTTTTGATATAACGACTTTTTCATAATCTTTGTGAAAACAATCAAAAGTATTCAAGTCAAAGCTGCAAGTGGTAACATAAGATACTTAGTTGTTTGTATGAAATTGACTAATTGTGTTGTAGGTAAGGACTATCAAACTACAAATTCTTACATGACCATAAATTTTGCAAGTCTTCATTAATTTTAACACTTTGGATGTGCCTGGAAAATCATCTTCTTCATTGCTTTGGGTAATGAGCTCATACTTGTTGCCATAAAAAATTTCAACTGGCACATTGCTTCAAAAGTTGGAACATATCCTACTTATATAAAGTTTGATTCCAACAAAACCAGAAACTATTTAAGTCTGCTTTGTTTTTCAAATTATCCTTTAACACAACTGTTCCTTTGCATACCAATGAGGGTGCATTCCAATTAAATATTACTGGCAAAGAAAAAAAGATGGAAGCAACCATTCCCACACACCCATTCCTCCAAACACCAAATTCCCAGAAATCACATGTTGTTTACATGTCATAGACATTGTCATCTCTGTTCCTTGTAGGCTACTGATTTGGATGACAAAGTCAGGTCAAGTCTTAGGTGTTGTGAGATATCAAGCAAGTAACAGATTTGTTGGATTATCAGTAAGAAACCAGAGCAGAACAGTTTCTAAAATCAAATATGAATGAATCATTACCCCTGGATTAAAGATTATAGGTGCTATATCCTCATATTACCACCAGCAAACAAGGCTTTGGGCACATCTCCAGAACATTTAGAGAAGAAACATCCTTAGGGTAGGAAGGAGTTAATTATATTTCATGGAAATTTTAAACTTCCAGAAGCCAAAGAGTAATTTTGAATGCTCACAGGGAATTAAACATAATGTAAATACCAGTTGTGTCTTAAACATGGAGTCATTAAACCTGGAGTTGTATGTTCACAGGATTGTATCTACATGAGAATTTCATTTAGTTCTCTATAGCTTACAAAGTCCTGAAGATATTTTTAAATGCATTGGACACTCCTTTATCCAAAGGAATAGTTGTTGTCCAAACTGATTAGATAATGTTCAGAAAGCACCAAGAATTACAAGTCTAAATCAACAGGTATTTGTTTACTCGTAGTAATAGAGTTTGAACTCAGCCTCCCATGTGCTGGTCTAGTGCTCTACTCCTTGAGCCACACTGGCTTTTTGCTAGTAGAATCTCCCAAATAGCTCAGAATATCTTCAGAGCTCAATACTCCAGGTCTTTGCCTCCTTTAGTAGCCACCAATGCCTATCTAACATGACTAGATTTTTAACTGATGATTTTATTACTGAATTTTTGAAATCTTCAGTGAGCAATAAATTTCCCATTTCTTCACATTTGGTAAATTTATGTACTTACAAAAGATTTACAGAATGTATTTCCAGAAAGTGACTTTAGGTCTGATTTCTGGCCTTTCAAAAGCATTTGATTTTTTAAGGAGAGAATAATATTTGTCAAAATTAGCAGTATGCCCTGGTGAGCCCACTCCCTGCCCCACCACACATCGCTGCGAGTGACCCTGTCGCAGCTGTAGTTGCTTGGAGATTAGTATAAAGCATGTTTCTCACCTCATATATTTATTATCGACTTTTTAGTTAATAAAAATCTGATTCCTATGTCGTTACCATCTCAGAGGAAATTTGATTGCTTTATAGTTGATGAATTCCAACATATCTCCCACTGAATGTAAAAATGGGGTGTGTCAGTTGCATTTTAAGGAGAACATACAGAACCAGAAAGGTTAAATCATGGGCCATGAGGAACCAGTTAAGCTCTAGTGATCTTGGCTTGTAATTCTGGCTGCTTCCTGAAGACATGTAGTTGGCTGGGTTAACTTGGATTTTTCCTCTGGAAAAAGAAGTGTCTAAAGCAATATTTTGGCATTGTTATGATTAGCTGAAATTTTACATTTCTCCTCATTATTTTGGCAATGTACAATAGTTGAGGTCAGGAACATTTTTACTTGAAAAGCCATATGCACTTTTTAGTAGGCTTCTATATATTTTGGATGCTTTTAAGTTACATGCATCAAAAATTTATCTCCTGCTAAGGGAACAATGTAAATAGATAAAAATTCTGATTTTCAGGGACTTACCTAGCAAAAATATAATAAAAGCAATCTCAACAAAATCACTCGAAACCTTACTCGTTGTACCCATGAGAAATCACTACCAGTACTTCAGTCATCCTGGCTGAAGTCCTCTGAGCACCCCCCTTCTTTCATTGTAGTTCCCGTCCCATTTTCCTGAGTTTCACTGCCACGTTGTTGTCCCCAACTCCCCCATCCCATCTCAGATTAAGTTTTCTAATAAATTAGGTGACTTGGGAAATTTGGCTGCATAACATTCATGTCCCCATTGTCTGGTTAAAAAATATATTTGATTTTTTACAGCGAAGACCAGGTGAAGCCCCTTCCCTCAGTCACTGCCTCCCCTCCTCACCATAGCGGACACAGTGGGTATTATTCTCACCTTCATACCTGTACCATATCTATGTGTGCCTAGTAAAATGTGTGGTACTTTTTACTCCACATATTTCTTTGGGAAGTTTTCGTGGTGGGTTTGGGATTGTTCACTGTGGTTGCAAGATTTACCCACGACAATGTGTGTGACTTTGTTCCCTTCTATCCTATTCTTCTGAGGATGGAGGCTGAGATGGCTTGAGATATTCTTCAAGTACAACTCATTAGTCAATAAACACACGTGTTTCCCCTGCTTTCGTTTAGAAGAGTTTGTCTAGGCCCTGTGTCCAAGTGTCTCAATTCTGGGAGTAGAGGATAGGTCATTCTCTCAACTCATCACTGGACAAATCGTTCTACCAGCTGGCATACCCCACCACTTAACAAGGACTCTGCTCTGATTTTTCATAATTTGGGTCCCTCAGAGAGCAGAAAGCATCTTTATGTCTACACCTAAAAGGACCTTTTTCCCCATGGACCTCCTTTATCCTATGAGTGGTCCCAATTTCAAAAGTGGATCTCTACGCTGAAATGTAAACTGAGGAAAAAACAAAGGATGAGTGGGGGTGTGGAGGGGGCAGTGAGGCTGGCTCTGGGCTTCGGTGTATAACATCTGACTTAGGATCTGGCTCTTTGCATTCTCCAGGTTTCCTAAGACACTGAGAACCATATGCCCAGATTCAAGAGCTCAGGGCCAGCCTGCGTGGGTTACATTCCTGCCCTACCACTCCTGGTTGTAGATTCTTGTGCAAATTCTTTAACATCCCTGTGGCTTGGTTTCCTTGTTGGTAAAGTGAGGGAAATGCCAGTATTTACTTCCTAAGGCAGTGGTGAGAATCGAATGAAATACATAAATCTTCCAAAATACCCAAGGGATAGTCTGAGCCATGATAGAGCAAGCGAATCACATTCAAGACAGCTTAACTGTCTACCTGTTAGGGAACTTTCCCTCTGTAAATACTCCTCCGAGCTGACTGGAGCATTTGCGAACTCTGAATCCTGCACTCTTTGATGTCAATAAACAACAGAATAAACGACTTCTTGAATGTCGTGCTGCTATGCAAAATAACATTCCCAGCTTTGGTCACTAGTGTTTTTCTCCTTGAATTTAGGTCTCATCGTCCACGAAGGAGCTGCAGTTTACAGAGTGTTTAAACGCTGGAGAGCTGTCAATTTGCACTGGGATGTATTAAATTATGACAAAGCCACAGACATCGAAGAAAGTAGCCGAGAAGAGTCGTCCACAAGCAGGACTTTATGGTTACCATTGACCGCTCTGAGAAACAGGAACTCTGTCCACCCAATGCAGCTCACCTCGCCGAGGTTTCAGTGCGGCTATGTGCTGCTGCATCTTTTCAACCGGATGAGGCCCCACGAGGATCTGTCGGAGGACAACAGCTCCGGGGAGGTTGTGATGAGGGTGACCTCGGTGTGACCGGCAGGTGCAGCGACGCAGCGCACAATTTGGAATGTAATTGCAATGAATGGCAAAGCCACAGCACTTCTAAACACACACACACACCTATGAACTTTTTAAAATTTATGCTTTTTATATGAACATTTGAATTGCAAATACATTTTCTGAAAAAACCAAGCGTTGTCTTGTTCTGTTTTCTGACTTCTCACATCCTTTATAAGTTAATCCTTGAAATCTTAATGCATATAGTTTAATTCTATATAGTTAACCATGATGGAAGTTTCCCTCGAGGCCCCGAATATTTTTTTCTTGCTTATTTTAAATATATTTTTGATCAAATGTTTTGCTGCACGTGTAATTTTTCAGACTGTCTGAATGGGGCAATTGAAAATGTCGTGGGCAGGCTTTAAAGGGCGTGCCCAAGGCACAACATCCCATGTTCCCGGATGCTGGGTGGTGAGTCCCTCCTGCTTCATGCTGGTTGACAGTCTCAAGGAAGCTTTTTACAGGGATGAAAACTGCCCTATACTAAGAAGGCAATTCTAGGCATTATGGCCTACTGTCTAAACTCAGAAGCATCCCGAGAGCTTCCAAAAAGACAACGTAAACACAGGAAGATGGTTTCATCAGATACTTAACCCAAATGTTGCACAATGTACATGTTATATTCTTATTTTTTTTAAGTTAAACTGCCTCGTGTTTGCATAGTTCTCTAACAGACCTATCACAATTAACTTGGCAAAGTACTAGTATTTTAAATCACATAATCACCATCTTAATTAGATTTTCTTTGGGTAAAAGCTTAGACACCCCCTTAATCATTTTAAACACTAATCTTATTACTCTGTTTAATGAAGCCTTAGGAAATATTTCCACCAGCAGTGAAGTCTTTCTCTTTTCCTAGATGGATGAGAGGTCGGTATTTTTTTTAATTAAATAGGAAAAAGAGAAATGAAGCTATTGATTCCCAAGAAATATGTTGTTATCTAGTGCTTCTTGGGATTTTTTCTTGCCTTTTTCACTCAGCAGCTGGAGGTGATCAGTGCATTTTGATGGACAATGACAGGACGTGAAGAGGCAGGTGGTCCTGATTTCCTCGGAAGCATGACTGGAACAGGCTGGGCCACAGAAGTAACTATCAACTAGATTGGAACATCACTGAGAATACAATGCTTAATACTCTAATTTATGAAAATAATAGAAAAGTAATAGAACAATTTATAGTGAGCATTAGGATTCCCCTCTAGCAAGTTCTAGTACTTGAAATAATGTTCCCAGTTAAAAATTACAAATGACAGGAATGCACCGGTTTTGAAACTATGAGGAAAAACTCATGACATCAGGAAAGAAGGAAAATTCAGACATTATTTAGGGGCCTAAGCAGGAAGTGAGACTATTAAGTATTCTTTCTGTTCTCAGGCTTGATTTAAGCTGGTGTTAATGGACGTAGTCCTGGGTGAGAAACATGGACAGTTGAATCTGTAAGATGAGTCATGACAATGGATCATCTAAAGGAGAATACTTTCGGTTACTACTAATACTACATGAGGGAGTATTGTGTTAAAAACACTGGGCTACACAGACTGTAGACTCAGTGCAGACTCCTAGCAGCCCTGTCTCTGGAATTAGAATGCATCTTTATGTCAACCCACTTGGGAATCAAAAGGAGAAAGTGTTAGAAGGCCTCTTTCTAGAATCTTCCTGGGGTGCAGGGGATCAAGGCATCTAGAAAGAAGAGGACCTTGGACAATCCTTCAATGACCTTGTCCTCTGGCTGGGACTTCTGTCAAATCCGGTGTATCCTTTAATCATCTGCATAGCCCCTGTGTCCTAATGTGGGCGTGTGTGTGTGTGTGTGTGTGTGTGTGTGTGTGTGTGTGTGCATGTGCGTGCACACCCCTGTACACACATTTATTTACAACAATGTTGGCATACATTTCTGCTCAACAAAATGTCCCACCCGAAAAGTAATTGCAAAGGAGCTCAACAAAAGTGGTGATATTTTTAGAGACTTGAATTCACTGCTTTAAGATAACTAAAATTCTTTGATGTTGTGTTACACAAACTCTGATGACAGAAATAACTTTTCAGTTGAAAATGACAGAAGCCCAAACTCAAGCTGCCTTAAATGCCAAAAAAAAAACCCAAAAACCATTTCTAGTAAGGAAATGAGCTGGAAACATCTTAAATTATTATTTATAAAATCTTTTCTAATATAACAATGGAGCCCACCTGCAGGCTCACTTTTGAATGATTAGTTTTGCCACATAAGCATTTCTGGAACACCTGGATCTGTTATTAGCGTGGGATGAGCCAGGTCTGCAGGGACTTGGGTGGAATCTGCAGTGTGCATTGCACATGTGTTGGTGTGCTGAGGGAACTCAGAGAAGCAGTCGGCAGCTGCATGGTAAGTTGCCCCTGGAGCATCTGCGGAAGCTGTCACTGAGAAGCTTGGCAGGCCCTGAGTGGACATTTGCAAACAGATAAATGGATGAACCCTTGGGTGGAGTTGGAGGGGAGGCGAGGGACAGCTATTGAGGGATTTTATGGACAGCACAGAATCCAGGAGTAACTAGGACTCTAGCCTGTAGAGCTGGCCAGAGACTCGGAGTGGATCCTACAGGAATCTGTGTGAAGGTGGTGTGGGGCAGTATGCAGGAAGGTGTGCTGAGCTCGTGCCTGGGACATGGGCGTGGTCTCGGTCAACTGTTGCACAATCCGTAATGCATCCAAAATGCTGGAGCAGTATCTGCATGTTGCTCTTTTCTTCTCCTAGGAGATGGCAAAAGCATGATTTGGGGGAAGAAAACATACCACAGCTCTTGTGAAATAGGAGATCATTTCTCCACTATTGAAAGTGTCTCCAGCATTTTCCAAAGTAAGCGTATCGTGTGATTTTTCTTATTTTCTTGTTGAATTTTGCATTCACTACAACCCACTAGCTGACAATACGCCAGAACTCTGCGAAGGGTGGAGCTCTGGGATAGAAAGTTGGCTGTCATGCATAAGGCCTTGGTTTCAGGCTCCAGCATCAAAAAGGGAAAAAGGAAAAGCCAGAAATATGCCATAGTAAACCAAACTTCTTGTGGCTTCGGCTTCGGCAGAGGACAAATTCCCTTTTCCTTTCTGCTTTTCCTTTTCTGCTTTTCTGGCCTCCCAAGTGCTCCTTCCTCTTTTCTTATTTTAAATTGTCTTTACTGGTACAAAGGAGCTGTCATGTACCAAAGCAGTTTTCAAATATTGTGCATCTTGATTCCTACCAACCTCTTTCCACATTCTCACTCACCCCTCCCAATCTACCCTTTTCTTGACTTTTGTTTTTGTGATTTTTAAATATTATCTTTAATTAGTTGTAAGAAGGAGGTGCCATTTAACAAAGCAGCTTATGAATACAATATTTCTAGATCAAAGGTACCCCTTTCAAAATTCTCACCCATTTCTTCCCCACCCCTTCCTTCACTCGTCTTAATTTTGTAGGATATGCATTGAATTCTTGACTGCATTCTCCCTCTCTTCTCAACTCGTTGTCTTCTCCTTTCCCCCTGACCCTTCCCCACCCCTTTCAAGTACCTGATATCTGGTGTTATATTTTGCTGAACTCTGATTGGCTTTCTAAGGAATCACACTATTCGAGTTCTTGCTTGAGTCTACTATATTTTAGTTAATACATTTGTATATACTTGCATACCACCCAACATATTTACTTGTAAGTTTATAAGCTAAATCTAGCTTCCACAGATAAGGGTAAACATCCATCTTTTGTCACTCTGGCCTGACTTATTTAACAGTGTTTTCCAGGTCTTTCCATTTCTGTACAAATGATGCAAACCCCATCATTCTTTCTAACAGATGAGTTTTTGTATGCCACGTTTTCTTTATATGTCCATTGAGGAAGCATCTGGGATGATACTTGACTGTGTCAAGTGTGGTTGTGCGGGTGGCTTTACTGTATCCTGGTTTGTAATCTTTTGGGTGAATGACCAGGAGTGGAATTGCCGAATCATGGGGTTGTTTGATGTTTAGTTTTCTGAGGAACCTCCACATTGCTTTTCAGAGTGGTTGAATGAGTTTACTTTCCCACCAACAGTGTTTTAGGATTTCCTTTTGCTCCTTTATCTCCACCAGCATCTTGTTCACATTTGTTTTCTTTGATAATGACCCTTCTAATTGGGATGAGGTGGAATCCCAATATTTGAATTTTCTTTAGGGCCAGAGATGTTGAACTTTTCTTCATGTGTCTATTGGCCATTTTTACTTCTTCTGAGAAGACTCTAGCTCCATAGCCCATTTGTTAATTGGGTTTTTAGTGTTACTGAGGTTTTAATTTTTTAAAGTTCTCTGTATATTCCAGATAGTAGGCCATTGTCTGATATGTCGCTGGAAAAAAATCATATCCCATTTTGTACGCTGTCTTCTTAATTTTGAAGGATAATCATTGAATTCTTGACTGCATTCTCCTGCTTCTCCTCTTCATTCCTCTGTCCCTTTCCCCTGAATCCCTCCCCACCCCTTTTGAGCACCTGCCTCCTATTGAGAAGCACTCATTAAACAGCAAAAGAAATTTGTCTTTGCTGATCTGGAATTAAATTACCTGTCATGCATTCATTTATATGCAATTTTCAAACACATTTTTTAACAGCAGTTATAATTTTTCTAAATCTTCCCTTATAGTTTATTTATTGCACTTACACATTTTAATAATAGTTGTTTATCAATCCCTGTTTTCATGTTTGTTGGAGACAGGATTTCATTATGTAGTTCAGGCACATGCATGATTCTCCTAACTCAGGCTCTCAAGTGCTAGGATTATCGTTACTTGCCACTTCTTGTGGAAATACGATATTGTATCTGTTTCCCCCCCCCAAGTTTATCCTTTTCAAACTAGGGTATGACAAATTGATTTTCTTCTCTCTATACAACATTCACTGTAATAATATTTGTAATGTAGCATAATATATATGACATGATATAGGATACATAATATGATCTTGTTCTATATATTAAGAAATAATTGGTTAAAGATCTTAAAGTGATGATATCTTAGACAATTAATTTCAGTTTATCCATTCAGGAAGATATTTCCATCATGTGTACATGATACAGAACTGCAGCAAT